GGAGTATGACAAATAAATTCAAAGGTGAGTTCCGGAGAAGCAGTTAGCCAAACTAAAAAAAAAATCCTGAGATAATTTCAAAGTTCTTCGAAAAAATCTAAAAAGATACCAGCATGCTCAGACATTATCATAAACACCCAAGACTTCAGTATGATCATTCTTCTGAAAATATTCAACAGCTCAACACGCCACAGGTTCTTCACATTTCCCTGAAGATCTACGAAATTCCTTGTTATTCTATGAACTTCCTTGAACTTTCACAAATTCCTAGGAAGATATGTTTTTCAATCTTCAACTTGAATTTCTTTGATGATCTACAAACTTCCCTGAAGTTCTTATGCTTTACAAATTTCTGTGATGATCTATCAACATTTCTGAAATTATGTGAACCACTTTAAAATTCTGCTAAGTTTTTGATGATCTACGAATTTTCCTGAAGTTCGGAAAATTTATCTGAAGGTATACAAACTTTCTTTGAAGTTTTTCAAATTTCTTTGAAGTTATGCGAACTTCCCTGAATTTTCTGCATTCTGATGTGCATTCCAGGGGAAGTCAAGTTTTGTATTTTTTTTTCTAATTCGCGATTTATTCGCTATCGCTGCCGTGGCGTAGAAAACGCGCCAGTTTGGGGATTAACGTTTCTGCACTTTTAATAGCACGTATAATGTGCACAATGCGCAATATTCATTTTTTTTCCTTGATTTATTTTTCGTCGATCTTGTTTTCCGTGCTGAGCACGAAATGCTACCGACGCCAGGGAGGTGGCGCCCCAGAACATCCCGGCGGGGCCGATTGGGATTGAACCCAGGCCTACTGGGGTTAGAGGTAATCACACTTACCACTACACCACCGGCGCCACTTGAATATTAATTCTTTTGTCAATGATAAAGTTTTACCTCGTAACAAAAAGTATAATTACGAGCATTTGTTTTTCACATTATTACAATCCTGGTAGAAGGACTTAGACGCTTGTACACTTTGATGGCTCAACGGATGTATTTCGCTCAATGAATTCCAATTCGTTACAAATTTAGCTAAAACGAAAATTTCCCCTGTTCGCCACTGACTACTTTGTCACTGACAATTGACATGGTTTTCCTTGAAAATTATTTAGAGAAAGTCTCTTGAATAAAGCAACAGCAAACAATTATCTCAAGTGCTGTCAATATCGTCGACATGAGGTGCTCGAGCTGGAATACATTTTCAACGGCTCTCGTACTCGGAGCATTACTTTCTGATCCTCTCACGGTTCATTATCAGCATCATGGAACCATTTCTCGATGCGCCCAGTCCACCCAGTAGTAGCACGATTTTTGCGGTGTAGACAATGGAAGGTTCTCCCAGCATTTCGCGGTTCATTCTCCTCCTCCGAGTTCCGTCCTCTACCTGCACTCCACCTACTACGGAGCATTTGGTACGCAACACCTATCGTTCATAAAACACGCAGGGTGCGTTGGTCTACCACCAACTGTCTCCCGGCCGTAGAGGACTATCAGTCTTATCAGCGTATTGAAGATGGTCAACTTTGGGCTGCGACAAACATTGTTCGACCGGAGAGTCTTTCGGTGTCCAAAGTAAGCGCGATGGGGAGCGGAACGTTTCGCCGAAGGACGTTTCCCCCAAGGACGTTTCCCCTAAGGACGTTTCCCCGTTTCGCCGAAGGACGTTTCGCCGAAGGACGTTTCACCGAAGGATGTTTCGCCGAAGGATGTTTCGCCGAAGAGCAAGCCATTTTCTACGTAACCTGCAAACTATTCAAATATAATGCTTTCTTCTTTTGAACATTATATTTTTTTTTGAGTTTTACTGATTTCAGAAATTTTCATATAATAGTTTTTTTTTTTATTTATAGGAATGATTCCTTCTTTTGAACATAACCAGTTCTCTCGAGTTGTACTGATTTCGAAATTTTATAAATAATCAATGTTTTAAATTTGTAGAACTGTTTCCTTCTATTAAACTTGAGCGAGTTGTTCTGAATTCGGGTTTTTTTTTAATTATCAATATTTTTGATTTGATAGGAATGCTTCCTTCTTTTAAACACGAGCAGTTCATTCAAGTTGCTTTACATGGGAATATTTAGTATTTAAATGCGTTCCAAATTCATTTTAATTGTACATTGATTCATGATTAACGGCGACCAGCTAGAGTTCATCATTGTCAATCGAAGTCTAAAGAGCCTGAATTTATAAAGAGACGACATATCAAGATTGGAACAATCGATTGTCTGTCAAAGTCATAGAAAAAGTTATTCCAATCGAGCAGAAGACCTGTCAAATGGATAAGATGTCGCCTCTTTATAAATTCAGGCTCGTTTTACAAGTCCTAACATCATCCTCTCTTGAATCTCTTCCTCTTATGTATTTTGCCTTCGCTGCATTAATGACAAGTCCAATCCAATTGTCTGGCCGTCAGGCCATAACGGAGGCATACGAACTATATCATTTATTTATTGTCGTTCATCATTCATTAAAATGCAAAACAGTATACTGTATACAGAGCAAGACGCAAGGCAAAACACACGTATACCACTAACGACACCTGTGCGTGGATACAAACATTGCGACAAATAGAGTGCCTTCCATTCATTTTGGCGAAAAACATGTTTTATGAAATTACGGAATAATAAGATATTATGATAATATTTTGTATGTGTAAGTAACAAGAAAAGATTGTAAAGTTTATGTTTGACACACAAAACATGCAAATTTAGCTTCAAAAGAGTCACAATGAGCGATTTTCTGATCGCCTCTTCGCGAAGAGTGAAGAGCGAAGAGTGGGTGAGATAAATGACAAAATCGCTTATTGCGACGCTAATGTAGCAAAATTGGCAGGTATTATGCGTCAGACACAAACTTCACAATATTTTGTTGTTGCGTACACAAACAAAATATTATCATATAATCTTATTATTCAATAATTTCATAAAACATTTTCTTAGTCAAACTGAATGGAAGGCACCCTGGCGACAAATAATAGGGTAATTGAACATGTACTAGACGCTTTACACAAACACGCCTTTACCTTGAAAAACCATAATATCTTGAAATATAATGAACTAAACTTTTTTTTTAATTTTGCTCATTTTTAGTCATAATAAAGACCATTCATATTCCACTAATTTTACTAAAATTCGTCCACAAATCGAGCGATTTATTAAACTTAATCTAACTTCTTACAGGTTCTTCCAATAAAGTCCAAAACCAAATCGATAAATCAATAAACATCTGTTTAACCACCAGCCAAGATTTAAAAAAAATATCTATTCACAATGTGTCGAAAAATGTTCCACTAGGGTGTACGCTAAATTTTTCAAGTATTTCAAGCGTAACTATTCGAATCGACGTATCTGATTTTGTAAACAATCATTTCAATCGACGATTTGTGGAACAGCTAGCTCACTCATAGAAACTAACATTACCAGGTACTTTGACTATATGTTTTGTATTACTTCTGCGTGAAGTCAACGATTTACATAGTTGAAGAGGCTAATTTCAAATAACTGACTAAAGTGGTAATTTTTATACGATATATGATGAAAGTATAGAGTTGACAGTTCCGTTAAAGTACGGCAGTGTGAAGATCAGAGGTGGAAACAGTACATTTTTTGAAAAACCATCGTCCAGAGTGAAACAAAACAGCCAGCACACGGGCGGCCGTTTATAACTACATTCCAAGCGAACAGCGGTGATAGAGAATAAATAAAATCTCGCAGCCTGATTTTTCCAAACAGTTTATTGTAATGAAATTTTAGCTGCAGGCTTGCGTGTGACAGTAAATTACCAACTCCCTTATTTACGCATAATTTTAACATCAATGTTTATGAGTGGCCAGTCTTCATTCTTATCTTTTAATTCCATGCAATAAACATCAAATAAATGCAGTAATTAGCCAGAAATCAGCAAAATTCTACACGACATAAATTTATGTCGCGCGTGCCGCCGGTCTTGTCTGCTTCTTTGTACGAAAATGTTCTGTCGCTGGCAGAAAACAGTTTAGAAATGTCATGACATTTTTGCCGATTGCCAGTTTGTTTTTGTGTGTCGTCACAATGGTTATCGCAAAAAGTATCAAATGTTAAGGAAAAAATGTTAAACTCCAGGACTCGTGCCACCACTGGTGAAGATTGTATATAGAGAGTAGAAAGCAAGCAAGGAAAACTTTTTGGGAAGGTACAAATCGGTTTGATCATTTCTCTTTACCAAACTCCCCCGTAGGAGAGGGATGGTGAGGGGTAGTCCCCCACGCCACCACTGGCAAAAAGAGATGATCGACGACTCACTCATGTACCGACGATGTGTTTGAAACAGCTCTATCGATTTTACCGCACTCAAGTTGTTATCTGAAGGAAGGGGCATCCAGTCGTAGGTTTGTAAATTGCAGCTATTGTTACCTCGGTATGTGCTCCTGTCATCGTCGACTTGACAATCTCGAGGGGACACGGGTAGGGTAGGTGCTCGTTTACTTCACGCAGAAGTAATATAGTCAAAGTACATACATAACAAAATCTCTGATCACGTCTTCCTTCTGAAGGGAAGTAAATCCGTTGGTCCCCGGTCTATGAGTTGGTGGGTCGATAGGTAGGGTCCAGGTGTGGTAGCTGCCTCGCTGGCGTCGGTAGCATTGGTCCTCAGCACGGAAAACAAGATCGACGGCATATTTGCTATCAACCTATATCGAATCATACCTATCCCTTTTCTACAATTAGAATTTTAAACAATAATTAACAGGTAACGGGTTAAGAATCATTTGTATTTAAAATTAAAATAAACATTTCGATGACAAATACAACTATTTTTCATAACTAAAATGTGAAATTATTGTCCATATTCCATTGAATAAACAACGCACTCGTACGAGTAAGTACGTACTTTTCAATGTTCTAATCAAACACATCATTTTATGGCGTATTTTATGATCATCACACGTAAACACAAGAAACAGTATTCGTTACAATCAATTATGCAAATGACAAAGCACAAATATCATACTTTTTGCAGCTCAACCTCTTCCATCAGGGTAAGTTCCGCAAAATGTTCGAAATGGACATCTACGACTGGGACCGGAGGCGGAGGTATCCGGCAAAAATATTTTTCTTCGAAAAGTGCATCGTCTATACGGAAAAGATCAAAACATACCTTGAATACCGCGGCCACTATGGAGATTTCGAAGTGGGTCTGTACAACGACGGGAAGTCCAAGCTGTGCGTATTCGCGAAGAAACGTGGTATCCAAGAGATCGAAGTTACCAACACTGAGATGAGTCTTGTGCACAAAATGGCAGGCCACATTGAGGCTATCATGAAGAGCTTTGCCATGCAGGAACGCCAGCGAATAAACGATCTTACCAGGAATAATGATTGGTGCGAACAACGGGTACCCAGTGTAATGACCATCAATCGGGGGAGTGTGGTCAGCACGAAAAGTAACCTGTCGGTTATCAGCAATAACAGTAATCGTAAGTTAAACAGCACCATTCCAGACCATTTGAAATGGGTTCTGATAATTATCATTTTGCAGGTGACAGTTACGAGTCCGGCTCACAAACCATATGGTATGTTGCATTGTAAATGTAACGCTCTGAAGTTATCCTTATAGGATGCGACTGCGTATTCCTAATACATCTAGGTTTAAATCAGCCAAAAAAAATATATGTGCTTTTTGATAGCATTCATTGTTGCGTTTTCACTTACATCACATTACCATATACCTCATCTGTTGTTGTCTGCAAAGGGTAGTGGAATTCCTATCTGGTGATGGTTAGCTACATGTCTCGTTAAAGACACAGAAACATTTTTTTTAGGGATTCGGAACAACCGGTGCAAAGTTTAGTCTCAGCACAGAAACATTTCTGCCAAATTTTGGCAATCAATCGAAAGTACTACTTCAGTGAACTCCCGGACGAGCTATCCAAGAACATTAATCGCTTCATTAACACCTTCGATCGATTGGTGGAAATCCACACGAAGCGAGTCTATGATGATTTGGCCCAACAAGACGTGGGAATCGATGAAATATGCGAACTTTTCATATTGTACTTTAAGGTAAACAATCTACTACTGCATTTGACTTGTAATTCTCATTTTATATTTTTCTAGGAAGATTTATTTGAACCTTACAACTCGTATTTGAAACAGTTCAAGAAAGCAGCCGGTATTATGAAAAACATCCATCGAGCTTCAGTAAGTATTACCGATATTTCACGGTTCTCATATAAGCTAACCGATTTTATATTTTCAACAGCGAACTTCCCTCAGTGGAACAATGGTTGCACAGAATACGGACGATTTCACTTTCATGGTAATTGAGATATGGAACAAGTACCAGAACTTTGTGCAGATTCAAATTGTTCGAATGTCCGAGCAAATGAATGGCGACGTTAGCACTGCGCATAAGGACTTGTTCCGAAAGCTAGCCTTCGTAGAAGTTCAAATCAACTCTTTCCGCAAGTCGTTAATGCAAAACTACAAGCTTTTCAATCTGGACGAAAATGTACCGGCGTCAAATATTGGCTTGGTTGCCTATTCCGATAGAATTCGTTATGGAAATGAAACGCTTAGCTCACACCGGATTCTGATATGTGACAAGGCAACGGTTTGCGTTCGAGTGCAGATGGTCAAGGATATCGATCGCCATATGGAGAAGTACATCCGGATAGTATTTATCGATAAGTTTGTGCGAGGCATGCCAGTTGTGAAACAAAGCAAAAAATCCGACGTTAGACTTAATTTTGAAATCAACGGCATAAAACACGCGGTAGATTTTGGAAACAAGGCTAACAAAGATAAATTTTTTGGTAATTACTGTATGTTTTACGAGAAGTGCTTCAGGTCTCGGTGATGATGTAAATTGATGGTAAACTAATAGTAGAAACGATTTACGTGATTGTAGCATAAAGTTATTCTGTCAAATAATCTACCCATAAACGTATAACAGTCCCATTATCATAGTAAATCATACAAAGATGTGACTGTTGAGGTTGTATGGGCAGTTATGCTTCTTCATGTCCGAAATTAATTCCCTTCTATGATTGTATACAGGAGAACTCTTTCAACATTCAACAACTCTAATTTGGGCCCATACATAAATACAGCAATCGACTAAATTTTCAATAGTGACCAAAATATCCATTAGTACCGTCCTAATGACGCGTTCATCTAGATAAAATTGATAAATAGCAGATTTTTAGCGATGGGCCCACATTAGAGCCATTTCCGCTATTCATATAAAAAAAACAGTGACATCGAATGCCGCTGGTTTTGTCTTGTGTCAGGCTCAGACCTGGGTGTCCTCTGCTGCGTCACATCCCCAGACGTTCTGAAGCAAAACATACAGGTAAGCTAATCTATAACCTCGTAACCAGTCGTCTCTCTCTTTTTTTTACTCTTTATTTGTTCCAAATTCAAAATAAATTAAATTTAATTTTAACCTAGGTGCTCTAGTTACTACAGTACATACCAGCCTTAATTGTTATGATATATATCTAAGTGTTTTTACATTGTTCCTGCCTTGGTAATTTAGTATTTTAAACAGGTTTTTGAAACCTGCATGTCAGTATAACAATTGATATCTTAAAACTAAAAACTAAAACTAAATCTTATCTAAGTATAAAGGGAATTAATCGTTGCAATTAAGGATTTTTGCCTGAAATTATTAATTATTTTGTTGGGCATTTGTACTAAAGTCTCGACATTCGAAATTCTATATACTTCGGTAGTACTGTACCAGGGAGGCAAATTCAAAATCATCTTCAGAACTTTGTTTTGAATCCTTTGAAGTGCTTTTTTCCTGGTCGTACAACAACTAGACCATATTGGCACAGCGTAAAGCATGGCCGGGGTAAAAACTTGTTTAAATGTTAGAAGTTTATTCGTCAGGCAAAGTTTGGATTCCCGGTTTAAAAGAGGATACACACATTTTATATATTTGTTACATTTGGCTTGAATGCCCTCAATGTGATCTTTAAAAGTTAATTTTTGGTCAAGCACTAATCCAAGATATTTCACTTGGTTTGACCAGGAAATTGGAACTCCGTTCATAGTGACTATGTGACTACTAATAGGTTTCAAAAAGGAAGCTCTAGGCTTATGTGGAAATTTAATAAGTTGAGTTTTGGAAGCGTTGGGAGAAATCTTCCATTTTTGTAAATAAGAAGAGAAAATATCTAAACTTTTCTGCAGTCTGCTGTCGTTGAATGTCGTTGAATGCCCATGGCGAAATCCAAACTGCTAATCTGCAAAAATTGAGTTCGTATTGATGTGAAGCATCACTTTATTCAAAATTATCTTTTCAAAATGTTTACTTATTGAAGAAAGCAAATTTATTGGACGGTAAAATTGGAACAACGTTTGCATTTTTCCATTTATCAGGAAAGTATGCCAAATGGAAACATCTGTTAGTTTGGATTCCCGGTTTAAAAGAGGATACAAACATTTTATATATTTGTTACATTTGGCTTGAATCTTTAAAATATAATTTTTGGTCAAGTATTAATCCAAGAAAGACAAGGTACTCTCTGGGAGTTTTTTGAAATTTTTTTTCCTTTGGTTTGTTTTTTTCCGTCGATCTTGTTTTCCGTGCTGAGCACCAATGCTACCGACGTGCCAGGAAGGCAGCTCCCACACCTGGACCCTACCTATCGACCCATCAACTCATGAACCGGGGACCAACGGCTTTACTTCCCATCCGAAGGAAGGCGTGATCAGAGATGTTATGCCTCAGAACATCCCGGCGGCGCCGACTGGGATTGAACCCAGGCCTGCTGGGGTGAGAGGTAATCACGCTTACCACTACACCACCGGCGCCGTTGAGTTTTTTTATGAGGATATAGAAAATTCCATCATCACCTGGAGCTTTCATATTTTGAAACTTTTTAGTTATAGACCTTATTTCGTCCAAATCAGTCCCCCAGGAATCATCAAAAATATTTTCCCGAGAGAAAATATTCTAATAATCCCGAGCAACCTGATTCTCAATAGGACTACTAAGACACACACTGAAGTAATGGGAACTCTAGAGTTGCTTAGCAAGTTTATGAGCTTTTTCCAAATTTGTGATCAAAATTTTACCACCTTCTTTAAGCGCTGGAATTGGCTTTTGAGGTTTTTTCAAAAAATTAGTGAGTTTCCAAAAGGGTTTGGAACTCGGGTCCAATTCAGAAACATTATTTTCAAAAGTTTTGTTCCTCAGGGCAGAGAATCGCTTTTTAATTTGTTTTTGCAAATCCCACCAGATAACTTTCATGGCAGGATCGCATGTTCTTTGATATTGTCTCCTACGGACATTTTTAAGACGGATCAAGAGCTGAAGATCGTCGTCTATTATAATTGAATCGAATTTAACCTCGCATTTTGGTACTGAGGAGGCTCTTGCTTCAACTATAGAAGTAGTCAGAGATTCAAGAGCATAATTAATTTCATCTTTGGTTTGCAAAGGAATGTTTGGATCGAAGCTATATTCCATAAATGTTCGATATTGCTCCCAATCAGCTCTATGGTAATTGAAAGTAGAGCTGTTGGGATTAGACATAATTTCTTGGGATATTTCACAAGTTACTGGAAGGTGATCAGAACCGAAGTCAGCATGGGTAACCAATTGGCTACAAAGTTGACATGAATCAGTTAAGACCAAATCAATAGTGGAGGGATTTCTTACAGAAGAGATGCATGTTGGGCTGTTGGATATTGAATAGTGTAATAACCTGCAGAACAATCATCAAACAGAATATTACCATTGGAATTGTTTTGAGCATTATTCCATGAGCGGTTTTTTGCATTAAAATCACCAATAATAAAGAATTTACACCTATGCCGGGTAGTTTTTGAAGGTCACCCTTGAGAAAATTCTTTTGCTGGCCTACGCATTGGAATGGCAAATAGGCAGCTATAAACGTAAGTTGTCCAAATTTTGTATCAACAGAAACTCCAAAAGTTTAAAAAAATTGGTTTCAAATGAAGAAAAAATTTTATGTTTGATTCGTCTATGAACAATGCTGGCAACGCCACCACAGGGTCCATCGTGACGATCATTTCTATAAATGAAATAATTTGCGTCCTTCTTAACCTTACGGTCAGGTTTAAGGAACGTTTCAGTTATAACGGCAATATGCACGTTATGAACATAGCTTGTCTTCATTATCTTTAAGAGATCGAGCATTCTAATTTAAAATATTTAATGCTTTAAAATCCAGTACTGAATTTTAAAGTCATGACAATATTTTTTGCAAATTTTACTCCAGTTTGAATAGCATCAAACATGGAGTTAGATTTAAGCATATCAGAAATCACGTCAATTAATGGGGCTTCCCTTTCACTAATTTTACGAATGTTGTGGTGAAAATTCAGTGTGGAAAACGCGAAATTTGTTTATTTGTTGATGAGAAATTGTGATCATTATCGAATCATGTGCAGCAAAGGTTTTGAATTCCACGTGAAGTTTACGGACAAGTTGCATCCAGCAGTCAACTAAATTGGTGAGTTCACTCATGTTTAATTGTTTTTTTTTTCATATACTTAGGGGCTGTTCATAAACTACGTAGACTCTTTACAGGGGGAGGGGGTGTTAACAAATGTCTACGGTCCATACAAATTTTCAAAAAATGTATGGTCGATTGTCTACGCCGGGAGAGGGGGAGGGTCTAAAACCTCTAAAAACCGGTCTACGTAGCTTATGAACAGCTCCTTAGCTAGGGTAGGATATTCAAACAGATGCTTGAGCCTGGGAAAAGAGGGAGGAAAAGATATTAAGATATTATATATCTATCCCAGGCCGTTATTTTAGAAAATCGTTACAGATAGAACTCTGGTTTGAAAAGCATTGTTAACTGCTTTCGGAAACGTCATTTTATTCAAATAGCTTTTTATCCGGACTTCAAATGTCGTCTTTCGTAGCGTTTTTGCTTCTCTGTTCGGGACCAAACACTACTGCGACCAGTAAATTGATCTATTGTAGTCCTTGAGCAGAAGATTATGGGTTAGCACTCAAGCCTATTTGCATTATTGAGTTGATCAATCCTGGGTCTGTATTATAGAAAACCGTTAATGATATAATTCGGGCGAAACGATACGGTGTTTTTAAAGATCGCATTATTTTCCAAAATGAATTCAAATCTAATTCATACTTGTTACTAACAACAACGCCCTTCGCCCCGTGAAATAATATAGTAACAGGTTTCCTAATGACTTTTCCGGCTGACTGGATGCAGGGCGTCTTAGTGAAGGTCCCAAAGAAGGGGGACCCAACTGTATGCGATAACTGGCGTGGCATTATGTTACTGTGTTGTGTTCTCAAAGTTCTATGCAAAGTTATCCTCAACCGGATACAGGAGAAGATCGACGCGACTCTCCGACGGCAGCAGGCGGGATTCCGTGCTGGAAGATCCTGTGTGGACCATATTGTCTCGCTCCGCATAATCTTGGAGCAGGTCAACGAATTCCAAGAGTCCCTTTACTTGGTTTTCATTGACTACGAAAAAGCTTTCGACCGACTCAACCACGAAAACCTGTGGGGCGCCCTAAGGCGCAAGGGAGTTCCGGATAAAATCGTCAACCTCATCGAAGCTCAGTATGAGGCTTTCACGTGCAGGGTGCTGCACAACGGAGCCCTATCTGACCCTATTCGGGTAGTCGCTGGAGTGAGGCAAGGATGTATTCTATCACCGCTACTGTTCCTCATCGTAATCGACGAGATAATGGTTGGTGCGATCGACCGTGTGCCGAACCGTGGGTTGCTCTGGCAGCCTATTACAATGGAGCATCTAAACGACCTAGATTTGGCGGATGACGTTGCTTTAGTATCACAACGGCGTTCTGACATGCAGAGTAAGCTCGACGATCTCGCCGAACGCTCCTCAGCGGCAGGTCTCAACATCAACGTCAGCAAGACTAAATCGTTGGATATCAACACGGGAAATCC